AAAACAGCTTATAAGCTAAAAAAAAAAAAGTGCCCCTACCCCAGCTTTTAACTTTTGGCTTAAAATAAGTTTTTCTTAACTTAAAATAAGTTGTTTTGAGTATTGCCAAATAGCTAAATAAGTCAAAAACCAGCTTTTAAGTCAGTTTGACCAGCTTTTAAGCTGAGCTAAACAGGCTCTTAGTCTGGTGGGAAGCATCTACATGATCATTTCTAAGGTGTTGTGGAATAAACTTATAGTGTTTTGAGCGAGATTGTTTTAGCTTTGCAAAATGCTTGTCAAAGGTAAAAAAGTTTGGTTGCTTCTTTGGTGACTAATGAAGTAGTAAATTTGAGGGAGAATCAAGGTGAGCTGGGTGTTTTCTGCAAGTTAGATCCTGAGAAAGCTTATGATTATGTGAATTGGTAGTTTCTGAAGTTCATTATGTTGATGATGGGCTTTGGGGAGAAATGAAGGATGTGGGTTAGTTTGCTCGTCTTTTGTGAGATATTTGATTTTGATGTAGGATAATCTGTATGGGTTTTTTGGTAGTTTGAGGGGTTCAAGGTAGGTAGATCCTTAATCACCTATGTCTCTTATTTTGGTGCTTGAAGCTTAGAGTAAAATAATGCACAATGTTGTATTAGCCAGACATATCAAGGGGTTGAAGGGTGCGGTTGGTGGTGTTGGCGCTGTGTTGATTGCCTATCTTATATTGCAGTTGATACTTTAGTGTTCTGTAATGGATTTGGACTACCTTGGACAAGTGTTAACATAGTTCTAGGTGGTGTCATGACTTAAAATCAATCTCAGAAAGTGCAACTAGACTACCTTGGACAAGTGTTAATTTGGTTCTAGGTGGTGTTATGACTTTAAAATCAATGTAAGAAAATGCAAGATCTTACCCGTTGATGTACTGGATAACATTGGTGGCAATGCTTGCTTAAGTTTTGCATGGCAGGGTAGGGGCTCCTTTACTACATACGTTGGATTACCTCTAGGCGTGTCGAAAAAACATCTCAGCATTTGGAATTCGCTCATTTATAGGACAGAGAAGAGGTTAGCAGGTTGGCGGTGAAGATACTTGTCCAAAGGAGGAAAAGAAGTGCTTACTAAAAGCTATTTATTAAGTATCCCTTCATACTTCATGTCTTTGTTTAGTGCACCTACCATTGTTTTGGGAAAGATGGAGAGGCTATGAAAAGATTTTCTTTGGGACATAACAATGGTGAAAAGAACTTTCACTTAGTTTGGTGGAGACTGTGACATCTTCTAAATGGTTGGGAGAACTTGGGATTAAAAACTTGAAGGTCTATGACAAAGTATTTTTTGTAGATAGTTGTGGAGATTTGGGGTGGGGGGAGAAGCTTTATGGAGAGAGTGATAATAGAATAAATATGGAGTTCTGGAGGAACATAGAAGGGTGGGGATCCTTTAAAAACAATACTACTTTTAAGGTTAAGGATGAGAGTATGTGGAGTTTTAGTGTGAAAGGGTGGTTTTTTTATTTTGTATAGGGTCTCTTGCCTAAGGGAAATATTATTTCAACAAGTTAGGGTGCAAGGGGGCCACCCTTTTGGGATTTGAGGTTAAGGAGAAACCTCCAAGATTGGAAGGTGGTTGTACTTATATTATACTCTTTACTTCACAACCAACGCGAGCCAATCGAAAGACCTCATGCTTTGAGTTGGGAGTTGGACAATACCAATTGTTCTTCCTCGAGTCATGTAAGAATCTTCTGGCCAGGACAAAGGATAGTTTTTCGTATGATTCAGTATGAACACCTAAGGTCCCAAGGGAGGTGTGGTTTTCTCGTGGTTACATGAGGAGTGATTTCGTTGATAGAGAATCTTTTTATGAAACGAATGGTTGGTTGCATAAGTTTGTGTTTACCATGTTAGGAGGTATGTGCGGATGTGGATCATATTTTATTACATTGCAAGACAACCACGAGGTTATGGTGGGATATTGTGAAATGCTTTGGCATTTCTTGGGCAATGCCAAATTCAGTGAAGGAGTTTATGTTTAGTTGGAAGAGTGAAGCTAGTTAAAGACACCAGGTTTGGAATATCACTCATCGTGCTTTAATGTGGGCCATTTGGACGGAGAGAAACAAGACATCTTTTGTAGGGCTGAGCTTTGATTAATTGAGGAGTAGTCTTTGATCCCTTAATTTTTTTGGTGCATTCATGCAATTCCTATTTGTATAGAAGATCGAGTATTTTGTGGAGAGAATTATATTTTGTAGGTTTCTCCTCTTTTGCTATATCTCTTGTATACGACCCAATTGGCCTTGTTAGTATTAATGAAATATTTTACTTGATAAAAGAGAATCTATACTAACTTCTGGAATAATAAAAATTTCTCAAACATACCAATTGCTTGCCAATTGCCATATAATGGCCTAGTAGTTGCGAACGCGAGATATTCTTATCTAATTTCTTCATCGAAATTGAACTTAAAAGAAAAAAGAGCAACTCTCCTACAAAGAAATACCCTTATACTTGCAAAAACGGTTTGCACGGCAAAAATGAAAATTTAACCAGAAAAAAAAAGAGCGAAGGAATCCCACCAACAGATGAAGCAAATAAAATTTGATTATGTATACATCAAGAGGGGGATGCGGTCCTGAATGTCCATATTAGTAATTGATATTGCTATATTTTGGGCAATCAGCAGTTCCTCCACTCAATCAACATACATGATCTAAATTGCCCCACACACTATCATGACTCATAACTATGGTCTAACCCTTAGAATTTGATTCTCTTTTTTTAATAAAATCCCTTGCAATTTGAATTTTTTGTGTAAATATTCATAGTGTCTTTTGGTATGTTTTGTATAATTTAATATTGGATTAAATCATTATCATCATCATATTATTAAAAATAGGAAGCTGCAAAGTGCAAAGTTGGATTACCATTTTAACCCTATACTAAGTTAAAATATTACTAGTAATGATATCATGTTATATATATAAAAATCAAATTAAAGTGAGATTCACTATAGTTCCCGTGAATTCCATGTGCCAAGCAATTAGTGTAATACTCCCTCTGTCCCATTTTATGTGACATTGTTAGACTTGACACAACATTTAAGAAAAAAATGAAGGCTTCCAAAACTTGTGGTCTAAAATGATCCTTAAATATTCGTGTGGGTAAAAGAGAAATTCAAAAGTAAAATTTTTTCTGATTACAGTAAGGAGACATTTATTTTGGGATGGACTAAAAAAGAAAGAGGTGTCACATAAAATTGGACGAAGGGAATACCCTTTTTTGGACATGAACATTTAATGTCTATTCATTGCTTTGTACATGAAAATTAGTCGAAGAGTTGTAGACTTCGATAAGGAAGAGTTGTAATATCGGTGGAGGGTAAAGAATATAGTATTTACTGGAGCCGCTTAATTTTATAAATGTATCTTTTTATTTTGCCCAAAATCTCCATTCTGATTCCCTCCTGTGGGTTTCATCTGGTCCCTTGGTTTCTTGCCGCTTCAGTTCCAGTTCTTTCTTTTCCGGTGAAGAATTCATTCAATGCCCCTTAAATTCTTACATAATGTTCAAGATACAATTCTCTGGTTTAACTGTTTAAGTAACTGTTTTTTTTTCCTATTTAAGACCGATCATTACAAAAATTGGTATATGCCATTATATCTTCCGTTACAAAAGAGATATTTTGGTGATTTCCTTGGGAAGAGAAGTTGAGATGGTGACTGCATTAGTTTCCATTGCATCTCGCCTATTGTCTCTCAGATTTGCGCAATTTCTTGTATCATTTCACGTTATCAATTACTATAGTTTGTAATTACGTCTTCGTGGATCTGTTTTTAGTCCGTCAGTGAACATGCAAATCAAAATGTAAAAATCAAATATTTATCTCATTCTTTTTCTCTCTAGGACAAGTTTTTGTCTGTGAGTGTGAGTTTTATGGCTTTTCACAAGTTGTTTCCTGTATTTTTGTTTGTAAATTCTTATTAGCCACTCATGGTGAACATTTGGTATAATCGCTTGATTTTCATTCCTTTTTTTTTCTTTTATGAACGTTGGAAGTAAAATATTCTCTTCTTTCTCAGTTTTCACGTCTTTGCATTTTTTATTTTATACATTTGAGGAGATTAGCATCACATTGATGTTTCAATTGTACCAAACCATCCAAATGTCTTTGTATTTTATTTTATTGTTGAATTAGTATATCTCTAAGCACTCTTTTCTTTAATTTTTTACTCTATAGTTCCGTGCAACTCATGGCACACATTCTAATTTTATGTATTCCATAAACATGGACTCGTGTCCAGGAACTAGTAGTATAACAATGGCAAAAAATACAAAAGACTCAAGGCATCATTAAAGTAACTGTTAATCATAATAAAATATTTTTAGATATTTTTGGATATTGAAGTTGAAGGGATATATGATGTTTATGGGCAGAAAAGCAATCATCATTTAAAAGGCATTTTAGTCTTTGAACTTTTCAATTTAGGGCTTCCCACTTATAATATATAGTATGATGATATGATTTTTGCCACTCCGCGTTAACTTTTATTCAGTTATCTATAATTTTTTTTTCATGATCTTCTTTAATAATTGCATTTTAATGAATTGTCATCAATATTCCTGGTAGTTCATCATTGGACTGACATAGCACTGAACTCCCAAAGAGAGTTGATTTGTTGTTGAATGTATACTTGTGTGGTGCTGAAAAGTTTTGAGTGTTTTATGTAATTTTGAAATTCATTTTTCATCTGTGACTCTGGATTTGCAGGTTGCACAAGTGTACAACGTCTAGTGGCTGATTTTATTCCTCGATTTGCTTCGTATTGTCCCACTGCTCTTGAAGCTGCAGTGAAAGTTGTTATCAATATGCATAATTGGAAGTTAGCTTTGATTGGTAAAGGAGAAGATACAGACGGTGTTGCATTTGACACTGCTAAGGTGTGCATTTTTGGTCTAGCTGATATTTGTCGAAGTGCTGCTGCTGAGGCACCAACATCGTCAGTTATTCGAGGAATTTGCACCACAGTTTTTCGTGATGCACTCACCTTCTTTATATCATGTTTTGAAGGGAAGGATGTTCTCGAGATTGCTGACAAGGAATATTTTGGTATTCAGGATGCTCATTTATTCTCTGAGTACCAACAAAAGATTTTAAACAAGGAACAACCGGTACTGCTCAAGCTATCTGAGTTCCGAGTACTTTGTTTCCTCAGAATTTTCTTTACTTGCCCCAAAAATTCAATTGCAACTTGTTTTGAGCTCATCGGTTCTACTGGATCGGAGGAATCTAAGCGGGAAGGATATTACTTACTTCGTCAGTTAACTAACAGGCTTGATGATGCTGTTGGTCATCCTAGGAATGGAGGAAATAGTCCTGTGATATCATCACCGAAGGCCACAGAAACAAGTAGCAAAAGTAAGGAAGTGGATGATGGCGTTGCAACATGTGGCAAACAAGGCTCAGACAATCGCTCCCTTGTTTCGATGAACTGCTTATTACGACTGGTATACTTCTCTATTTACAATTTCTTTGGATGGATTAACTAGTCAATTGTTGTTCCTTTTCCCCTTTATCTAAAAGCAATTTTCTGAGCTTCTGAGTGCGGCAGCTTTATAGAACAACTGTGACTTATTGTTTCTTGATCAAGACAGTGACACAATGTTTTATGTTTACCATCTGGGCTTAATATTATTGTTTCTATTTCCATCACTTGCAGCATCACAGAAAAGTCCACTATGATGCTGTATGAGTTGATCGGTGAAACAAGAAAACAGCTAGAGCTGTTTTCAGTTCCTTGTACAATTAAGCTGTTATTTGTTTATGATATTATTTCAGTGCATCTTACTTGTCTGTTTTATGTTATTTTCTTTTCTTTTTCCTTTTAGAAGTGTTTTTGTTTCATGTTATCTGGTTGTTAGCAAGTGGTTTTTACTAGTGGAAAATCATACAATCAGAAATATTGTAGATTCACTGATTCAGTATATTGTGTGTATTCTCTTGTTTCAATTACCTTGTTTGCTAGTATGGCAGAGCTGGTGATAGAAACTTGAACTCATGGCTTAGGTCTGAGACTTTCCATATGGTTTTGTAGATCATGGTTGCCTCTAAGTAATTTGTGTTCCTCATCAGGTTGTTCAATTTGAATTCATTATAAGCTCCTCCTTTTCTTTGCTTAAGTCCATCAGAAATTTGGTTTAGTCATACATTTCAAACATATAATCTGAATATTGGTTTGCCTGTTCTCTAAAAAATTTATAGTTTTTACCTAAATACACTACAACCACAACTTAGAGATCATCAACATATTTTGGATGTAGTCTACCTGTGAATATATAGATTAGTGTTACTATCCTAAAAAAACATAGCTGTGTAATCCCACAAGTGGTGTCTAGGGAGGGTGTTGTGTACGCAACCTTACCTTGTGAATGTAGAGGTTGTTTTCGGTAGACCCTCGGGTGAGTAAACCACAATTTGTAGAGTCTCAACGTTAGTTCGTACAATTTTTTCTTTGTTAATTGTTGCATAAATCATACGATAACTTCGGAGAATTGTTTTAAGGTAAGCTCTACATCCAATGTTTCTAAATTTTGTTAATAGTTCAACATAAATGGAGGAGGAGGGTACAGACATAAACCTCGAGGGGAGTTTTTTGTAATTTAATTGTTGTTTTAAGTTATGTATCCCATATTTAAATCCTTGATTGCTACCCACAAGTAAAAAATAATGTATGATGATCGTATTAGATATTCGATCCTTCACTTTTGATGTCATCTTGAGGAAAATGATTCTATTTTTTTGAGAAGGGAAAATGTTTCTTTTATGTTTGAACTGTCCCTAGAAAATCAATTTTGTTTGGAGATCACTCTGGAATTTTCCAGCGAGTTTATTAGTTTCAATAAAGTATTTTCCTCCTCCCGTGGGGAAAGTGATACTCAGTATAACAGATTATTTGGTTTTCAAGGGCTTTGATCAAGATGCGCCGTCATCTATTATGATTCATATCTTTGGTCTCTAAAGCTTCTGCTCAAGATGCACTATCTTTGGATCTCTTTATGCAGGTTATAGAGAAAGATCATTCTCTGAAGAGTTGGATTTACTCAAGGTTTAAGAAATTAAGTGAATCAGCTTCCTCTCAAGTCGTTTCAGATATTTCCGCAGTTCTTGAAGGCGTATTGCAGTCTTTCTTGAATGAAGTGAAGGCAGAAAAACCTCATGATGCTGGTGATGAGGATGGTTTTGATACTGCAAAGTATGTTAGTGAGTACTTGTGTCATGAGCTATCTGCTCAAAAAGTAACTCATGAAGTTTCTAGAAGCCCAGCAGTTCCTCTGGGATCAACTCACCGCTCCAGTATGAGTTCAAATACTAATAGTGGTGAGCGTAGGTCTGTAGTTTTTGACTCTAAAGAGTCCGGAGATTTTACGAATACTAGGCCTTCTGTGCACATGGAGGTCTATAACCAGCAGATTCTTTCACCTATTTCTAGAACACCATCGAATTTGAGAAACAGTTCATCTGATGGAGGACACCATGTCATGATGGAGAACCACCGAATTATTAATGTGGACCGTCCTCTACCAGCCTCAAGATCAGCAGGAGGTAATAGCTGTTCCATGGAGTCACCTATGCAGCGGTTACCACTGTCTCATTCTTCCACAAATCAAGGGATTTGGTACTCTGATGGAGACTCAGCTGCAGCAGACATCTTTTTCGCTTCAAAACAGCTATGGTTGGGGTCTTTAGGCCCTGATGCATCTGAAGTTCTTGTCAGACATAAGTTTGAAATGTTTGGTCCAGTAAATCAATTTGTATTCTTTGCATTCAAAGGTTTTGCTTTGGTTGAATACCAAAACATTATGGATGCGGTGAGGGCCAGGGAAATCATGCAGGGAAATTCTCTTTGGGGTGCTGGTCTTCGAATAAAATTCATGGATAAAGGATTAGGTACCAAGGGGACTATAAATAGTGCCAGTGTTGGTTCTAGTTGCTATATTTATGTTGGAAGTGTTCAGAGCCGCTGGATGAAGGATGATGTCGTGCATGAGCTGAGAAAAGCTCTTCAAAAAGGTCCTCGGATGGTAACTGATCTAGGCAGTGAAGGAGCATTGCTGATGGAGTTCAACACACCTGAGGAGGCCACAATTGCCATGAATCATCTAAGGCACTGGCGTAAGGTAAGGAGTGACTGCATTCAGCCCCCATACTTAGGTCCGACTAATGCTTCCATGCATACTGAAGGTATAAGACCTAGCTCTACGTCTGTTTATGTTGGTACGGGAAGCAATTTTTGTGTGAATAGTACTGTTGGGCCATCTCACTTCAAGAACATGCTTGAGAACCATTCTGACAGTCACGTTCCAAGAATATCACGTCTATCTTCATTGCTTTCACAGTTGAGTGCCAAATATAATGTCAAATATGATCCTGGCTATAATAGTCATCATATGCCGGGGAGTTGTGAAACTGGATTCTTTGGAGGAGATACAAAGCAGACAAATACACTAAGGATTAGCATTCCGAATGGTAGCTCCTTGTTTATCACAGAAGATGAGCTTTTGGCTATTTGTAATCTTGCCATTGACAACAAAGGTTCTATCATCAGGTTAATGAGAGAAAATATGCCTATGGGTTCTTGTTGGCTAGTTGAATGCAGCAGCATGGATTCTGCATATACTCTCCTGAAGAACCTTCGTGATTGTCCTGGGTTGTTCTTCCAGATAGAATTCAGGTATGTAATCGTATCCCCCACCCCACCCCACACACACACAAAAAAAAAAGAGGAAAGAATTCAGTATGTAATTTCTTCAAGCTTATTGTCAGGTTTTAATTCACTTGGCACGGATATCCTTAAGTTACTTCTTTTTTCTAGTTGCTATTTCTGGATGATCTTGTCCTGTTAAGTATTTAGTCATCAAAATCTGCCTTGTTAACTTTCCTTATATTTAAGTTATGATTCACCAGACAGGAATATCCTTCAAGAGTGTAGAATTTAAATAGGAAAAATCATGTTTTGGAGGCCCAACTGAAACTTCTCTGTATACTTTATACACCTGTGGTGAAAAGTGATACACTCTATTTGGACAACCTTAATACAGAAATTACGTTCTTAGAAAACCCAACCTGGACTGCCTTGCTGACCAATAGTTTGAGTCTGACATTATTACATTAACAATATCTGCTTGAAGGTAACACTGTAAGATTTGGAGCAGAACCTGGATATCATTGATTATATATCTCCTTGATTCTATAGCTTTTGAAACTGCAGCGCAAGTTATATCTGGACTGAAGCTTGTGGTGTTTGGTTTTCCTCATGATGATGAATAATAGTGATTAATTTGTAAAGTGCTTGCAAATTTAAAAAAATTGTAAAGTGCTAACAAAATCAAAGTGCGTAAGAGAATGTTTACAATGTCGAACAAGTCTTTGACTTCATTAAATGAATGGTATATTCACATATACATACAACATAACAAATGAATAGAAGTACTTAAAAGTGTGCTCTATCAAACAATTTAAGCTTTTAGATGAGATGGTCCACTCGACAAAATTTCTACATGTTAGGTGTGTAAAAAAGAATTAGGCCTGCACTTTAGGGGCTGTTTTGAAGCCTTAATTATGTGAATAAAAGTTTGCTCTTTCTAACCTTGCCTCCGTCATCTTGTCCACCACGGAGGCTACTGCCACCTTGTCCCAAATATCCCTACTCTTAATCCTATCTCTCCTAGTATGTCCACACATCCATCTCAATATCCTCATTCCGCTACTATCATCTTCTGGATGTGCGAGTTCTTGACTGACCAACATTTTCTCTCATTCAACATAGCTGGTTTGACAACCACTTTATAAGACTTACCTTTAAGTCTTGGAGGCACATTCTAATCACATATGACATTGGATGTGAGTCTCCATTTCATCCACCCCTCTCCAATACTATGTGTAACATCATCGCCAATCTCCTGATTTCCTTGGATTGTTGACCCAAAATACCTGAAACTTCCTATCTTGGGGAGGAATTGTGTATCAATACTCACTTCCATATCTGCCTTTCTTTGAACTTGCACTCCAAGTACTCTGTCTTAGTCTTGCTCAACTTAAATTCTTAAGATTCCACGGTCTGTTTCCAAACCTCCAGCCTATCAAAATTGAAAATAACTACAATATAGTGCCTAATTCAATACTTAAGTGTTATTAAGATGAACCAAGGGCACCGATTTTTGGATTGATGATTTTTGGAATCAATCCAACGATAGAACTCCTTATCGCCTTTGCAACGACCCTCCATATAATTATCTGAAGGAGCTTTTACTTGTCATCTCTGCTGCTTACATACTTTGTCCATTCCGTGTGACAGCTCTTCTTGCTTCTTGCCTTATTGTCCGTTAGGAGTGACTTATTTTAGGTGCATTTAAGCTAAAATAGCTTTTAAGCAGTTTTGAAGTGTTTGGGTAAAGTTAAAAAGCGCTTATAAGCACTTATTTTAAAGCCAAAATAACAAAATAAGCCATTAGCCATAAGTTAGAAATCCTAACTTATGGCTTTTGGCTTAAGTCACCTTTTCTGCATTCTCTACCTCCTCTAATCTTTTTTCCTGTTACTTGAATGTGATCATCTCTATTCAGAGCTCTTTTTGGCTCTATAATGGAAATAATGGATATGCTCTGCTTCAAGTTCAAATTTACCTCCTTACCGTTTTCACATTCTACCCTTTACAATCTCTCACCTTACTCTGAATTGGGAATGGGAAGTGGAATATCACTTTCATGTACTAAATGGGAGATCCATGACAGGAGAAGAGGGGTCAGACATTAGGGGATGATGTAAGAGATGAAGGGGCAATATATTAAGTATCATATTTCGATCTAGGTCCATGTACATAGAGATGTCAGCAGCAATTTCACATATCGTATATTGCACAAATAAAATGACAGAATTACTTTAAAATCTGGTTGCAGCACCACTTCTCAAAAACTTTTCTACATTCGACGTTTTATTCACATGTTCAATAGTCAATGCAGACTTAAGCTTTACCTATTTTTTTTTAAATACTAGTAGCTTTCCAATTCGTAACACTCGTTTGTTTTCACCTTTTGATTCCTGGATACATTGAAAGCTTCATGCTATATTATAGCTTTTAAATGTCGTTTTCCGTGAATCATGATCTGAGCTTAACTATAAAGCTTCTCCTCCACTTGTTCTAACAGTCACTCTGGGCAGCATCATGTTCATGTTCCTGTAAAAAATGAAGGTAGTATTCAGGAGCTCACATCACCCAGACTAAATCCAGAACAAGGTAGCATGTCTCATGCTGGATATGCATTTCAGTCTAACTGGCCACATGTAGCAAGCAGAGGGATGCCCGAAGTTGGTTCTGGAAAAACCGAGATGATGATTCCAATTCCATCCCCGAGAGGTACTTTTCCGTTATTCTAGTTGTGTTCTTTCCTCCAGTAGTTTGATGCTCATTGTCATATTGTTCTCCTGGTAATTTGTGCAGGTAATCATATATTTTCTGGTTCTGCTAATGACATGTGGATGCACAGGAAATCTGAAGCAGAGATACATTCTAGACCGGCAATCGTTGCTTGCAATCCTACACCTCCTCAAGCACCTCCTAGAGCACTACAGCCTCTTCAAGGACCTCCTACTGTGCCACTGCCTGTTCAAGTACTTCCTGCTGCAGCACCACAGCTAATTCAAGGACCTCTTATTGCACCACCACATCAAGCACAACCTCCGCCCTTTGTGCGCCCAATGTATTTTCCTCCAAGTGGGTGGGATTCACGTGGTTTGAATCATAACTTGCCCCCAAATCCAATTCCATCTGGTGCAATGCCTACTAATCTTCATCATTGTTCAGTTGCATCACCATTTATACCTGTTTCTGTGACTCCACTGTCGCAAATACAAGGCACCTCCATGCCACCATTTGATCATATGTATGCTGTGCCTGTTGTTCGACCACCAGTGACGTCTTTACCACCACAACCACCACCTCAGCTTGACTCATTACCCCCATTACCTCCACCTGTCTTGCAGCCTCCGTTACCTTCATCCCCACCCCCACCACCTTACCCTGACCCACCTAATATTCCTCCTCCACCTAGTTCCCCACCTCCTCCTCCCCCGCCTCCATTATCTGAACCTTCAAATTCAGGAAGTTCTAGTCAATATTTGCAATGTCGTTGGCAGGGATCCTTGAGTAAAAGTGGAGTTCATTACTGCACGATTTATGCCCAAAGAGTAGAGTCAGATATTTGCAGGTATCCAAATGCCAGTGCTGAGCCGACAGAGTAAGGACTTCAGTCCTTCGATGTTTTGACACTTGATTTTAAATGTTCTGTTTTTAAGTTGGATACCTATGCAGATGGCCAGTGAAGTTGGATATGACCAAACGTACTGATTTTCGGCATGTCAAATCAACATTTTGTAGTACACCACCCCACAAAGTGAGTCTTGAACATTATGAAGGAAAATTCTGCATATCATATTAAATAGCATGTATCAGCACCTTCTGATAATTGTTGTTGTTATCTCTATCATATAATGTAGGCTATACTGTTTGTATATGTGTCAGTTCTTGCTCATTTTTTCGATATTAAAATGATCCATGACCACATTCTTTTTTAAATTAATGTGAAACAGAAGGAGATATGCTGGTTGCTACCTTCTTCTCCAATGGACCATAAGGGCGTAAGTTGATCATGCTCTCCTTTCAGTTTTCATTACCAGTGAATGCAATCATGATATATGCAATCGATTGTAGATGAAAAATGTCTGTGTATCTTCCAGAATTACTTGGTATATACCTTTTTTTTTGTGTGTGTGTAATCAGCTAATATAGGAACTAGAAAGAGTTGCCAATGAAAATCATTTCAGATGCAGATACACGATTGTGTTCTTTTTTTCTTTTCAGCTGTTTGCAAAAAAATTAGTCCAGTGTCCAACTTTTCCACTAGGTCTATCCATGATTGCAATATGTGTGCAGACATGGGACCTTAAGGAGATTATTTCTCCATTTACTTTTTACTTTTCAGTGTTCTATTTTTGCAATGACTGCTCACATATTGTAACCGTAGCTGGTTTAGAGGACTTAAATGTCAAAATTTGCTTTTTTGCAGTTTCAAGATTTTGTATCATACTTGAAGCAGAGGGAATGTGCTGGTGTAATTAAAATCCCAGCTGTAAACTCAATGTGGGCAAGGCTTCTCTTCATCCTTCCACAGTCATCTGATACCTGCTCTATGCTCTCTGTTGCACCTAATCCTTCTCTTTGTCTACTTGGTCTGGTGGTGCCCAAAGAGACAAACTCTGAATGGGTGTGATGTTACCGCATTGGGAGAAAGAGTGGAATACGCTGCTAATTGCCTAATGCTCTGCTGCTCGCCAGGTTTTGTTCAGTTTTTGACTATGATGTGTATCATAAAGGCATTTGCCAAGAGCTTTGGTGAATGTGCATGGATCATAAAGAAATTCATGACGCACAGCCAGTGCTGATTGGCAGTTGCAGCAAGATATGATGAACCACAGTAATTTGCTCACCAAGCTTTAAATCTGATGTTGTATATTATTGGGCAATAGATCAAACTCCTCATTCTACTGCATCAACTGTCATCTAGTGTGAGATGGTTACTGGGAAGTCAATGTTACTTTATTTAACTTTGTAGGTACTCAGAAGATCATATCATCGATATTACAACAAGATGGTGTTGTCAACTCAATGCAAGTTATATTATAGGAGTCTTCTGTACTTAGAATCCGCTAAGCCTTTCTTCTTCTTTCTTCTTTTCTCCATTAGTAGTGGAGGGATATCTTCTCTTCTCATGTCCATGTAAACATAGTAGAAAATGGTTGTATGTGAGCTTTGAATTATTCTTTTTCGGCACCAATGTTAACTATTTAGTAAAAGGTCTGCTGTTACGCAGTTCTTGCTCGCCATAAGATGCTTTAGTTGTGTAAATGTGATTACTGTTAATGGGATTGCTTAAGACATGTTTCATTGTTGCACTTTTGAGTTCAGACTAAGATAGAATCCTCTGCAGTTTTACGATATATGTGTTCTTCCTTTTCTATCAATTTGTACACAAAACCTATGGTAAAATGCCCGTCCGTAATCCAAACATATAAAGGGTGTGTTCTCTATGGAGAAATTTATCTTCGTTGGTCAACATTTTGCAATTCATATTTAGATACTAATGTTTTTAGATCATATTTTTTGCTCGAGTACCAATCCTAATAAGATAAATAAATAGCCCACTTGTTTTCCTAGATTTTCCAGGAAAAACAATTTCCATTATCAAAGTATCAAACACATCTAAAATATTCTCTCTCACGCATATATTAGTTATCCACTTTCCTCTTTACACACTCCTAAAGAAACTATTATGATTATATAAATAGAATCTTTCCATATCTAATTTTTTCTGTCTTTCTCGCTTTATAAAAATACATATTATATGATTGATCTTTTGTATATGCATACCAAAACAAAAACAAATTATACAACTGCTTTCTTTTGTATATGTATAACGAAATATATATATAT